GGGGCAGCGGCGCGGCCTGACGGCGCCTCCACCCTCGCCGCCTTCCCCTGTGCCCTTCTCGCCCCTGCAGGTACCCGCCGCAGGTCATGGGCAAAGCGCTGGACATGGCAGAAGGCATCCGGGTGAGCGGCGCGCCCGTGCACACCACGAGAGACGAACTGGTTGCCAAGGTGAAGAAAAGACGCGTATCAAGTAGCAATGGTTAGCAGATCATAGCTGTGACAATACATAGGAGTCTAGAAAATGCTTGTTTCTGAATGTGTCCCCTCATATCTTGAAGAGTAATCACGATAATTTGCTTTTAAATTCAGTTTGCCTTTTTTATTATTTGCTTCCTCTCTCTATGTTATTTTCCACTTATTGATGCCTATACAAATAGATGCAATGTGTACTTGCTGTATTGGTAACTTAGAGCTACTGTTCCCATAAGTCAAATGTTTTTGAATATCTACAGTTGCCGTGTTTTAAAATGAATTCCTAATGCCATGTAGACTTTTGTACTTCTGCTTAAATATATTCTTGCTATTTTATTCTTTACCACTAGTCAGACAATGTGTCTTTGTAAGGAAATTGAGTCTTTTGTTTCATAAAGAGATCCCTACCATGGTATTTTAAAGAGGTTTTTATATCAGATATAGTTCACTTGATGTGCCTTGGTCCTTTCTGCACTGAACTTTAAGAAAACAAATCCATACTTGCAAGCAAGTCTCAGGTCAAACCTGGAGTCTTGCACCCGAGCACTTTTCGTTCTTTATTTAAAAATGCCAAAGTGCTTGAAAACAGTGGGTTAATATTCCCAAGCAGAATTGGAGATGTGTTCACTGAGGACTGAATTTATAGTTTCTAATTTCAGGGGGCTTACTCCTTATCTAAATTCTGAAACTTTCAATAAACTATCTCTAGATGGATACTTCATAGTGGAGGAGCTAAAGAGGATAACATACTTGCTTTCTTTTGCAGAAGGGATAGAGGAGCCCTCCAAGAAACGCGCTGTAGAGAAGAGCAAAGAATCTAAGGATACTGAAAAGGATGTGAAGACAACCAAGCCAGAAGCACCTAAGGCAACTGACAGCACATTGCCAAAAAAGCAGGAAAAAGAAACCAGCAAGGATTCAGAAAGCTCCGACTCACTTTGCAGTTCAAACCAGGAAGCAGGCACAGCATCAGGCACCGATACAGAAGGAAAACCTGCTAATGCTGAAAACACCACTGAGCAAAATCCAACTCCATCTCCATCTGAAACGGAGCCAGCAGAGAAGCCTTGCTTAAATCCCTCTACGGAAAGCAAGTGTGAAAACATGCCGTCACCTGAAAAGAAAGCTGTGTCAGGTGCTGTGCCGGCGGCTGTTGCGGGTGCCCCGCAGCCCAGCGTGATGCCATCGGCTGCCAAGGGTGCCCCGCAGCCCAGCACAGCGCTGTCAGCTGCCAAGGGTGACCCACAGCCCAGCACAGTGCCGTCGGCTGCCAAGGGTGCCTCGCAGCCTGCAACGGTGCC